GGCGGCGCGGCGGAGTGTGACTGGGAATTCCACGCGGATGCGGGTGAGGCCGGGGACGCGGGGCGCGCCGGAGTATGGCGGGCAGGCACGGGGATCTCGGCCAGGCAGAGGAGCGCGGGTCGGTTCCTTCGCTCCGGATGGGTAGGTCCGGTGTGGCCCCGGGTTCGAATCCCCACGCTGGCCCCGCTGTGTGACCTTGGCGTGGCGCGCACCCTCTCTGAGAACCTGTCTTCGTCTAAAACCGGGGCCAGCAGGATGCATGGAAGTGAATATGAGGCCACCATCACCTCCTGTGGCCTCTGCGGCAGACCGAGCACCCGGCCTTGCCTGGTGGACGGTACCAGTTTTGTTATTTGGCTCCTTAGTTCTCAGACAGCAAAATCGGTAGCGGTTCCAAACGGACAGAGATGCTGCAGTATCCCTGGGATCCCTTGCGGGAGGCTCTCTATCCACGGTCGCCTTGCTGTCCAGGGGCCAGGACTGTTCCCAGCCAGAGTCTGCGCGGGTCCCACACCTCGCCCGGTCTGCTGGGCGTCTTTCTGCCCCTGCGGGCAGCTTCCCCATGCGGACCACAAGCCGGGAGCAGTGCAGACGCCCGCTCACAGGCGGGGCATAGAAGAGCATCACTTAATGACCCTGTACTCCCAAAGCAGCAGCCTTCCTTTTGGGCAGAAGGAAGCCAGGCATTAGTGCCTAACAGTAGGACCTATCTTCTCTCTGGGCTCATGGCCACCAAGACATCGCTGGCAAACCCTTGGCCCAGGCAGCGGTTCCGTCTGGCAGGGAGCACAACAAGCTGTAGTGTTTTCATATTATTAAATTATTTATTTTGTAATCCAACGCTGAAGAGACTCGGAAGGCCAGAATGAATAAGAGTGTGACCGCAGGCAGGGAGGATGCTCCTCTAAAGCAGGGCTGCAAGCCCCCTCCCTGCCCCCACCGCAGGGCAAGGTTCAGCCCTTACCTCCCCCCCCCGGAAGTCTGGCACTGAGAATGTGAGCTAGTGTCTGGGTGAAAGGAGAGAAAAGGGGACTAATTAGGAAATAGTGTGAAGTCACGCTACTGTCGGCCACATGGAGGGTCGAAGTGCTTAGTTTCCCTGCAATTAGTTGATAGTACTTTGGGCTGGCGCTTGTAAGGGTTCACTGCCCCTGCAAGGGTAGGGTGAAGTAGGGTGTCCCCTACATCATCACTTCTGCAAACATTGTTGGACTGCTAATTGCTCATAAGATCCCGGTTGTGATGCTGGAAATCCCTGAGCCTTGCCCTGGGTGGCTTAAGCCTGGTGTGAGCAAGCTGGGTGTTAGCAAAGTGGAGAGAAGCAATGGCTAAGCCTGGCTCTGGGAGTTTTCCACTGTGGGGAGAGTGCAGAAATTGGGCCTCCAAGGGTTAGAGGTATATGGGGAGGACATTCCAGGGAGAGGCAACATTTTGGACAGAACCTGTTTTGGGGGATGTTGAGTTGGGGGCTGGGTGGAAAGACAAGATTTCTGATTGAGGGCCCTGGTGTGCTGTGCTAGGGAGTTTGAGTTTTATGTCTTTGGATGTGATCATTTGAGGTGTGGGGAGAAATATGATTAAATCTGTGTCTCAAATAGATGAGTAATAACAGCTAGAAGGGAAAGGTGGTTTTAGGGTCTGGAGATGTGAACTGCCTTGCATAGATAGCATTGTGGGTGTGGGTTTAGGACAGTGGCCAAGAGACCAGGGAGGCTGAGGAGCTGACAAAAGCCAAGGCCTGAGCCTGGGATTTAGCTCAGTGGTTTCATCACCTGCCTTGCAAGCTCAAGGTCCTGAGTTCGATCCCAGGTACCAAAAACAAAAGCCAGGGTCCCCTTGCATGATGGTGCCTTGTGGAGAGTGGTGAGAAGGAATGGCCAAAGAACAGTAGGCCACACTGGGACCAGCTGCATGCATGTTGGGGTGAGAAGGGAGGGAGAAAGTGCAGGTGATTTTCAGACTTGTAGAATTCAAGGTATTTGTGAGGTCCAGGTTGGAACCCTAGGGTAGGAACAGCAGCCCCATGCACAGAAGAGAAACTGCTCTGTGGCTGACTGTACACACAATTTGTTGTCATTAACACAACATTATCAAGGCCAGTTCTGTCCTAAGGAAGTCCAGGGCTAAAGGTGCCATGGGTGAGAGAGACTGGCTGTTGGTAACACTGAAACAAATGCAGCCAGAGTGTTTTAAAACAACTCACATCTTTAGTTTGGAATTTTAAATTCTTTTTTTTTTTGGTACTAGTGATTGAACTCACGAACTTGCAATTGCGCGGTAGGTGAGGTGCCACTGAGCTAAATCTCTGGCCCTGGAGTTTTCAATTCTTTCCCTTCAAAAAATGACTAAGTCTCACACCTCCTTGGTGGCTGTATTCAGGACTGGTGACTCCCACTCACTGGCGCACAGCTGTGCCTGAACATAACTGGCCCTCTAACCTAGTACTTCCTGCTGCTAACCAAGGAGGAGGTTTGTCTAACTGTTTAGAAACTTTCTTCGAATCTCAGACCAGAATGGGAAGGCCAGGCAAGGTTGAGAATGGGGGTGGGGCAGCTGCTGTTCAGACCTGGAGGGTGGAGCAGAACTAAGCCCTTCCGCTCCAGTACATGACCACAGCCTGCAGGCTTTGGGGGTCTGAAGAGCCTGAGAGGAGAGACCTAAAAACAACTGCACCAGGGTGTCAGAATTACATCCCCACCCCCACCCTACAGTGTCCAGACCATCCAGTTCTTTTATCCCTTGTGCCTTAAGCATGAACAGATAACCAAAGTGCTATGAAGAACACACCTGCTGTAGAAGGGCCAGGTCAGGACCTGGAGTTGTCAGGGAGTATGCTGGTGGAAAGCCCAGAAAGCAGAGTTGCTGACAGTTCCCAGGGAGGTTGAGAGAAGGGCAACAGGGTGCACTGAAGTAGAGAGCGAGGTCCAGAGAGCTATGACAGCAGAAATAAAGCCAGGCTGCAGATGACAGATAAAGTTGAGGAACTCTCTCAAAAAGTGGAACTGAATAGCAAAAAGATGGAAAGTGAGAGAAAAAAGAAAAAAGGATCAGATCAGGAGGTCAGCAGATGAGTAGTAAGAGTTTTAGCAAAAAAAGAATAAAGAAAAAAATGGCACAAAATCATCCACAGAATGTCCTAGAACCCCAGCTTTCTGGGTTGAGGGGCAACCCAGTAACCAGCAAGAAGGATAAAAACACAAATGACCTCCCCTCTCCTGGACTTCTCAGTTCCCAATTTAGATTTTAAAAGTATAGATAGAGCCAGGTGTGGTGGTGTATGACTGTAATCCCAGCACTTGGGAGGCTGCGGCAGAAGGACTGCTGCAAGTTCAAGGCCAGCCTAGGCTACATAGTGAGGTTCTGTCTCAAAAAAATAAAATAAAATAAAAGTTAGCTGCTTGCCCATTCCAAGGCACACTATTGTGAAATTTCAGAACTTGGACAGAAGACTGTGTGCAACTTCTAGGGAAGAAATAAAACAGACCACACAGTGATCACAGGCCAAGAAGCAGAAGAGCTTTGGGCTCTAGAAGCAGCAGCCCTGAACACTAGAAAGTCAGAGAGCCTTGCTTTTATGATTCTGAAGAGAAATGTTGTCAACCATGAGCTCTGCACTCAAGTGCGGGAGATAGAATAGGCGTCTAGGCACCCAACCCTCCAGTGTGCCCTCTGGAGCTTTAAAGAGGTGACTGGCACACATGGGTGGGGAGCCTGGGAGGGGGCATCCAGGCCCTGTGAGGCCAGCATTCCTGAGCTGAGCCACTCGTAGGCTCCTTGGAGGGATTTTTTGGGGAGATGAAATTGTAACTGGACACCTGATGCTGTGGAACATCTGCAGAGGAGATGGAGACAGTTGGCAGAGCTGGGGCTGGATTAGTGATAAGTATATAGAAAACAAAGCAAGCGAAGACACAGGCTGTTATTAGTTCCCTGGAAAATAAACTGTTGTGTGGGAAAAGAAAAATAATGATAATGTACTCCCAGGCTCAGCCGGGAATAGTCTTTCCACCACATCGAGAATGTATGTAAACACGGACTGTGGCTCTAATTGGAGTCATCGTATGTGGTGTGGGGACAGCGTGGGGAGGGGACAGATGCAGTCCTGCCCACTGTGATGGAAGGTGGGTCCCCAGATGGAAAAGCAAGATGACAGCTCTGGAGGAGTCACGGAGCAGTAGGGGTGTACCTAGGGACGCAGTGGCCAGGATGGAGGTGGCAGGGGCTGCTGCGTTTCCTACTAAACTCTGAAGAGTTGTTTAGCCCCTCGTGGGTTCGTGTGAAAGGCTGCCACACATAGGGACAGAGTCTCCAAGAAGCCTTGCACTGGGAGAAGGGGCCCCTCAGTCTATTTTGTGCAAGACCTTCCTCAGCAGGAGTTTACTTGCTCTCACTTCCTCTGGTCATTGTCTTTGTTCTCTGCATCCTGTCTCTTGACTGTGTTCACTTGTCAGTGATTCAGTGCTTTCTTTAGCCATTTTTGTTTCTTTTCAATTTTTTTTGTAAGAGTTTTTTATTTTTAAAGTTTTTTACTAGTACATATTGGCAGTACATAATTATTACATTCATCACGGGAAGTTGCTGCATGAACATATATCTCTTATTTCTTCATTCATCCCTTTTCCTGCTTTCCTCATCTTTCCATCTCTTGGTCCCCTTCCCTTTTGCTAAAGATCTATCTGCCCGGTTCCTATTATAAATCTATCTTTTACTTTGCTCTTTATTTATACTTTGGATTTCTCCAAAAGAGAAACCCTGCAATATTTAATCTTCTGTGTCTGATTTGTTTTACTTAACATTATGCTCTCAAAGTGTATTCATTTTCCTACAAATGACTCAAATTTGGGATGAGGATTTGGCTCAGTGGTGCTGCTGCCTGCCTGGCAAGCACAAGGTCCCAAGTTCAATCCCTGGTAACAAAAACAAATGACTCAGATTTATCTTTATGGCAGAGTAGCATTCCATTGTGTATAGATACCACATTTTCTTTATCAATTCATATCCATTTCTTCTGGATTCTCCAATTTCTCTTTCCTGTACTAGCTG